ATTGGTTGTTCCAGGATACTTGTAACTTTGAAAATGTTTTCATTCTACTTATGTTTTAATGTAGTTTTTCAACTCGTATTCAGAGAAGACAGTAAAAGGCAGTTAACCAGTTAATCCATTTATTCACGGGTGACTATGGAACACTGGTTCACACCTTTGCTATAACTGAACTAGAGCATTATTTGTGAGTTACTTTTGTGTCAAAAATGCAAAGTTGAGTCCATATCATGGTCTTTTAGGGCCATAATTTAGTTATTAAATTCCAAATTTTAGCCCTAAAATTTCTTTAACTTCCCCTAAAATTCCTAATTTTACCCCTAAAATTTCTTTAAAATTGCCCTAAAATTTGCCCTAATTTTTTGTCAGAAGGTGCTGGACAGCCTGTAGATGTACAAATAAGAACGGGATATTATATATTTTCTTTTTCACCAAATTGATAATGCTTCACATATTTTAATAGAAATAAAAGGTATTACTCGATCATTATGATATGGCCTTCTTGACTTCTATTACCGTGAATATAATCTATGCATGGCATACAGATCCAGTTTCTACCGGGATAGACAATAAATTTCATACTTTGTCCCAGATTTATTAGTACTGTGTCCGATTTACTGGCGAACAATTTATTTTCACTGAAAATATATTTTAATATCTTTTTTTTATTCATAGAGAAATAATCATCCTTAGACAATCTAAAATGGTTTAGAAATTTGTCAGGTACACCTTACCACAAGTCATATAGGCGTTTACATAAAAACATTGTCTGTTTTTGTTGTTAATTGTTTTACTTGACATTGTTATCAAAAACAAGGTTGAATGTAAAGTAAACCCTTGAATCCGTACAAAAGTCTATCAACTCAATGTAATATCTATCAGATTAACGGGACAGACAAATTATTCTCACACATTATGGATATTTTAGCAACTACATTTTTAATCAACCCCGTGGTCGTGCGATTTGCCGCTATGCTTAATTATTTATGTTTCATACATTATGTTACGTACATTGGCCGACAATTTTTTAATTTATAAAAAAATGCTAAATGTTAAGATATTCATAAAAGATGTACGGTAGTTGTATGAGACGTGCATTACGAGTAGTATGGACCAGTATGGACCTGTAATTCACGCATATATGGAACTACCGATTTCCCTCATTGATGCCTCAACAGGGGGCGGAGCGTTATTGATAATCGACAGGTTACGCGAATAGCAGATACAAATAGTATAGGTACAGTTTTAAAACGTTTAAAAACACATTTTTTGGACTAACTGCTTCCAAAATTATATCACGGATGTGTTCAGAAAAGGTTGATAAATCTACTTAACAAAAAATCTCATTTTAGGTATTTTCAGTGACAATTGACTCATTTGTCACCTTAAAATGATACTGTCCAATCCTAAACCTGATAATTAAACCTAAAATTGATAGAGTCAAACCTTAAAATGAACCTGTCCTATGCTTAACATGATATAGTTGAACTGTAAAATGATTCTGACCAATCATTAATATAATACAATTTGCCATTAAAATGATACTGTCCAAACCTTAAAATCATTTAGTCAAACCATAAAATGATACAGTCAAATCTTAAAATGATACTTTCCATCCCATGAAATGATACAGTGAAACCTTAAAATGATTCTGTGTTATCCTAAAAGTGATACAGTTGAACTTAAAAATGATATTGTCCAATCCTTAACATGATATAGTCAAACCTTAAAATGATACTGTCCAATCCTTAAAATGATATAATTGAACCTTAAAATGACCATGTAACCTTAAAATGATATAATTGAACCTTAAAATGACCATGTCCACTCATTAAAATGATGTAGTCCAACCTTTGATTGATACTGTCCAATTCTTTACATGATAATAGTCTCACCTTTGTATTATATATTCAATCCTTAAAATGATATAGTCCAACCTAAAAATGATATATTTGAAATTTGTAATAATACTGTTGATTCCTTAAAATGATATTATCAAACCTTAAAATGATAAAATCGAATCTAAAAGTGATACTGTCCAATCCTTAAAATGATACTGTCCAATCCTTAACATGATATTTGAACCTAAAAATGATACAGTCAAAACTTAAAATGAACCTGTCCAATGCTTAACATGATATAGTTGAACCGTAAAATGATTCTGTCCAATCATTAATATAATATAGTTTACCGTAAAAATGATACTGTCCAATCCCTAAAATGATTTAGTCGAACCATAAAATGATACAGTCGAAACTTAAAATGATACTTTCCAACCCATGGAATGATACAGTCAAACCTTAAAATGATTCGTAGTTATTCTTAAATGTCATACAGTCAAACTTAAAATTGATATAGACGAAATTTATAATAATACTGTCGAATCTTTAAAATGATATTTTCCAACCTTAAATGATAAAGTCGAATCTTAAAATGATACTGTCCAATCCTTAAAATGATGCTTTCCAATCCTTTACATGATATTTGAACCTGAAAATGATACTGTCAAAACTTAAAATTCACCTGTCCAATGCTTAACATGATATAGTTGAACCGTAAAATGATTCTGTCCATAATCATTAATATAATATAGTTTACCGTAAAAATGATACTGTCCAATCCTTAAAATGATTTAGTCGAAGCATAAAATGATACAGTCAAAACTTAAAATGATACTTTCCAATCTATAAAATGATACAGTCAAAATTTAAAATGATTTGTTGTTATCCTTAAATGATACAGTTGAACTTTATAATGATACACATGAAGTGGAAATTAATAATAATACTGTCGAATCCTTCAAATGATATTATCAAACCTTAAAATGGTAAAAAGGAATCTTAAAATGATACTGTCCAATCCTTAAAATGATACTGTCCAATCCTTAACATGATATTAAAACCTAAAAATGATACAGTCAAACCTTAAAATGATTTGGTGTTATCCTTAAATGATACAGTTGAACTTTAAAATGATATACATGTAGTCGAAATTTATAATAATACTGTTGAATCCTTAAAATGATATTATCCAACCTTAAAATGATAAAGTCGAATCTTAAAATGATACTGTCCAATCTTTAAAATGATACTGTCCAATCCATAACATGATATTTGAACCTAAAAATGATACAGTCAAAACTTAAAATGAACCTGTCCAATGCTTAACATGATATAGTTGAACCGTTAAATGATTCTGTCCAATCATTAATATAATATAGTTTACTGTTAAAATGATACTGTCCAATCCCTAAAATGATTTAGTCGAACCATAAAATGATACAGTCGAAACTTAAAATGATACTTTCCAACCCATGGAATGATACAGTCAAACCTTAAAATGATTCGTAGTTATTCTTAAATGTCATACAGTCAAACTTAAAATTGATATAGACGAAATTTATAATAATACTGTCGAATCTTTAAAATGATATTTTCCAACCTTAAAATGATAAAGTCGAATCTTAAAATGATACTGTCCAATCCTTAAAATGATGCTTTCCAATCCTTAAAATGATAAAGTCGAATCTTAAAATGATACTGTCCAATCTTTAAAATGATACTGTCCAATCCATAACATGATATTTGAACCTAAAAATGATACAGTCAAAACTTAAAATGAACCTGTCCAATGCTTAACATGATATAGTTGAACCGTTAAATGATTCTGTCCAATCATTAATATAATATAGTTTACTGTTAAAATGATACTGTCCAATCCCTAAATTGATTTAGTCGAACCATAAAATGATACAGTCGAAACTTAAAATGATACTTTCCAACCCATGGAATGATACAGTCAAACCTTAAAATGATTCGTAGTTATTCTTAAATGTCATACAGTCAAACTTAAAATTGATATAGACGAAATTTATAATAATACTGTCGAATCTTTAAAATGATATTTTCCAACCTTAAAATGATAAAGTCGAATCTTAAAATGATACTGTCCAATCCTTAAAATGATGCTTTCCAATCCTTTACATGATATTTGAACCTGAAAATGATACTGTCAAAACTTAAAATTCACCTGTCCAATGCTTAACATGATATAGTTGAACCGTAAAATGATTCTGTCCAATCATTAATATAATATAGTTTACTGTTAAAATGATACTGTACAATCCTAAAAATGATTAAGTCAAACCATAAAATGATACTGTCAAAACTGTCAATTACATAATTATATACACTAGCACGAAATTATGGTGCTAAACTATGACACAACTAATTTAACCCTATATTTATAACTCTGAAACTGCAATAAAAACACACATAATCAGTTCAATGAAAAAAACAACGCTTTTCATAAATTAGCTTTTGACGTTAAGTCTTTTTCAGAAAATATTGGCATTTATAAAATAACAAATGATGCAGCGTCTGTTTAACTATAAGCTAAACAGAATGTGATGTTAACACGGAAATAAAAACTTTGTTTAATTAATAAAGAATCTTTCATGAACATGAATACAGCAATATTGTGACAATATAATATGGAACTGCACATGTGATACAAAAATTGTCATAATTAATAATAATAAAAAACTTTGAATTATAAGAAAAAACATAGTATATGTATACCATCCGAATGATATGCTTGAAAGATGACATTTTGAGTTACGTATACATTGTACAAAACTTTTGCATTCATACCATTAGGAGATCCAGTATGATTCTTGTAATTTTGTAAAATTAATGAAATTTTCTTGCTTTTTTCCCTGTAACTGGCTATAACTTTGTTATCTATAAATGGATTAACTTAATTTTAACCTTCAAGTTTACATCAAACTAAAAATGCCCTTGACACATATATGACCTTGACTTTCAAGGTCAATTTATTATTTTTTCACTGATTATCGCTTTATTTTGCGGTAACTTGTAATTTATTTACAGATTTGATTCATATTTGGACATTGTGCATTTTGTTTAAGCTTGATATGTTCACTTCTAAGATCTACATGTAAGTTCTGCATCTAACACTTGGTCCTATGGTACTGCTTTCAGGATTGGGTGTTTTTGCTGAAGAGGACATAAAAAGGGACATTTTGTTTGTTTCTATGAGGGGTTTTGGTCTTTTCCGGTGAACAGAGATTGAAGAGGTTCAGTAGTGAGCATTAAATTGTTAGTAGGGAGTTTCCTGTTTTTCTCACGACACAAGGGATAAGAATTTAGGTAAGTTTCTGCCATTTACATACCCGTAGATCCTGTGTCCTATGACAAAGCATTTTTTCCTTCTATAACAATGGCCAATGTTTGGCCCCTTCACAAATCAAAATTGCACTTTTTTCACAAAGCGGTAAAAAAAAAATCACAATTTTAAAAGAGATTTCACAAAATATCTGGACTTTGTCTTCTAAAGTTATCATTGTTTACCTTCATGTAAAATTTGATTTTTGCCATTTGCAAACAGGTAAATTAGTTTAATTGAATTAAATGGTATTTGCGCTGGATTACTGCCTAACTGTTAAAGTATCAACTCCAAGCAGATTTTACACAGGCCAGAAATTACAATCAAACATTCATTGCACTCTGTTTCTGGTTTCAAAATGTCATGAAATGGCAAATATTATGTCATGTGTTCACAATTTTATGACATATTGAGCTTTTTTTATATAATGAACAGGTCCCTTCATAAGTTTGACAAAAAATGCCCTCTATGGACACATTTCCAGTTTTATAACACAATTAAGCCTAACCAAATTATAATGGTCCTGGGACAAAATACCCACCCTAATACAAATATGCTGAAAAATCACAAAAGGTCAGCCATGTAAAGGTAGTCATCAGTCTATATAAATGAAAATAGTACAAATAGTAGAAAATAGACATTCATGTTTTATACCTGTAGAAACTTTAAAATTTATTATACATTATAATTTTGATCTCTTTACCAGGCCTGCAGAACATGTATTTTACTTAGAAATTGTTTTTATACCCCCAAAAACTAAGTTGGGGGGGGGGGGTATATAGGAGTCACTTGGTGGTCGGTTGGTCGGTAGGTCCAGACGTCCGTTGTATTTTCCTTGTTCGGAGCAAAACTTGAAGACTTATGGTTGGAATTCAATATAACTACATACAATGGTCAAGCACATTGAGAGAAATTGCAGTGCACAAGAACCATAACTTTATCTAAAGTAATTACAGAGTTATTGCCCTTTGTTACTTTTCCATTGCTTTCTTTTGTCCGGACCATAACTTGAAGACTAATTGTTGGAATCCATTATTACTTCATACAATGGTCAAGCACATTGAGAGGATTAGTGCAGTGCACAAGAACCATAACTCTATTTTTGACTACTGTAAAACACTTATTATTCGTGAGAAATTTATTTTCGCTAATATTCGCGAGTTTTCTAAGACGCGAATTCATATTTCTCGCGAATATTTCACTTTGTCTATACACTTGTCCGAAAATGAACACTATCCGAAAATGCGTACACATGCATGGATATATATATCTGCGGGAAAGTATCGCAACCAGTTCTAGTTACATCATGTAGCTATTCAAGTGTTGCAGCATATACATATTGTACAGATTACTAGTATGAAATATTTACCTGTAACAATTTGGCATTTTTTGCGTCCGCGCCGAAGCGCGGCGCCCCTTTATGGAATGAAATCAGATTTTGTGAAAGGACGACAGCAACTTCTCGAGCCTTTTTGTCGGTCATAATAAAAGCCGATCATTCCGAACGGTATGAAGGTGCTTGATTATTAATTAATCCGTGGTACAATGAATAGCGAACTTGCAAACATTTTCAAATGAAATAACCTTTTCCGTCAATAAATCGCGCTCTTCGTTTTCTTTATTTACACAGTGGGTTAAAATGGTTGGCGTCCGCGCCAAAGCGCGGCGCCCCTTTATGGAATGAAATCAGATCTTGTGACAGGGAGACAGCAACTTCTCAAGCCTTTTAGTCAGTCATAATAAAAGCTGATCATTCCGATCAGTATGAGATAAATTAAAAATGAAATGTCGCGATATGTACAATGAATAGCGAACTGGAGGATTTCGCAATACAAACATTTTCAAATGCATCTCTTCGATTTTTTTTTTATTTATCAATTAGTAGTACACAGTGTGTTATCATGGTATGTTAAAATAGTATGATGAGTTGATGACCTAAATATTCCGAAAATCTATTTATAGAGGGATGTACTCCTATCGGTAATTCCGGTCTCTTCCGGTTTATTTTGACCGGGATACTTGTGACTGGAGAATAGTATCACACGTTTATTGTCCGGTCTCTCCCAGTTTTGGAGTAGATGTTTGATATCGTTACAGAACAGAACAAATATTTTACAGATAAATAAGCTTATTTCCAAAATGAATGTTTGTCACTTAGTTTGGTTACAATAATTAATAAACATAGATCAACTCTCAAATTTATTGATTATTATTATACATAAACATACAATTCGAAAAAAAACAACAACAACAATAGCATGTTTCATTTTATCTATATGAGATAAAAACAATAAATATGTAAAACAATTGTGAAAAAAGGTACATTTTTATGGTTTTAATATGACACTATCAACTTTGAAACATTTTATTTAATTTTTCATTAGTGTTTTAGTAAAGATGCCGATGAATTATTCAAAGTTAAAAATTAGATTTTATTAATTATTTAATTGATTGATAATTTTAAAAAATGATAAAAAAAATACAAATGTACATGGTTTAAGAATAAACAATATGATAATTATATTGAAAGAGTAACCATAATTTACTGACTTTTTCCAGTTAAGTTATGACTTATAATCGTCGGTCAATATGACATTTTTTATTGAAAGAGTAGTAAACGTAAAAAACTCAGTATTAAGATAGCACATAAAAACACAAAAAAAAGAGAGGAAAACAATATTCATAAAATCTGTATTTTTGTTGTTAAAATAGATATTACAGTTATTGTATAATAAACAATAATGCTCAACATGACATGGTAATATAACCAGTGTCATATTTTTACTAAGTGTGAACAGATACCTTAAGAGGGGGTCTTCGCTAATAGCGATTACATAATAAGGGACAATTCCACAAGTGTGGTGTTGATCATGCATTACACATATGGATTATAAATGATTGTATACATGTATATCCGTTGCTATTAATAATCACGATCATAGAGGAATAACAAGTAATATTCTAATCTCTAGCATGCCGATCAAAGTTCATAATGAACAATGTCTTCCGTCTGTTCATTTTGGTAAAAACCAATTAACCATTGAAAACTTTATAAGAATATCTTGTCATTATATGTCTACTAGTTCATCTTCACTTTCTGCATTTCTTGCTTGGACGCCCTTTGATGCTTTGCATCAATGCTTTTCTTGTATCCTATTGTATTGTACTACAGTTTAAGCAGGAGAATCGTTTACTACAGGTTAAGCAAATTACAGTACCGTTTATTTGATTTTCGTTTATTTGATTTTTGTCTGCTTGCCTTTGAATGGCTAATCAGTGAAACTTTAACACTTTGAGAAACACAGTGAACACATATCAAATAATTATCAAACTTTATTGACATATTTTTAGACAGACGGTTTCACTTAACAAGAAGATTAGCAAGCTATCAGAAAAAACGATACAGATATAAATGCATGTGTGGCACAATAAACAACGCAAAGTTAGTGAATGGACAGGACAGAAAATATCAGAATGACATCGGGTTTCCGGTTTCACATTTTTCGGGAAGACGCGAATTCATGTTGGCGCGAAATAATAATTTTGCACATTTTGCCTCAAATTCGCGAAATAAGGTTCTCGCGAAAAATAAGTGTTTTACAGTATTTACAGAGTTATTGCCCTTTGTTACTTTTCCTTGTCCGGGGCATAACTTGAAAACTACTGGTTGAAATTAAAAACAACTTCATACAATTGTCAAACACAATAAGGGGAGTGCAGTGCACAAGAACCATAACTCTATCTAAAGTAATTACAGAGTTATTGCTCTTTATTATTTTCCCATTGCTTTCTTTTGTCTGGACCATAACTTGAATTGTTGGAAATTATTCATTATAACTTCATACAATGGTCAAGCACATTGTGAGGAAGTGCAGTACTTAAGAACCATAACTCCATCTTGACTTATTACAGAGTTACTGCCATTGGTTACTTTGCCTTGTCCAGAATATGACATGAAAACTACTTGTTGGAATTCAAAACAACTTCATACAATGGTCAAACACAATAAGAGGAAGTGCAGTGCACAAGAACCATAACTCCATCTTGACTAATTACAGATTATTGCCCTTTCTTACTTTTCCATTGCTATTTTTGTCCGAAGCATAACTTGAAAACTAATGGTTGGAATTCAATATAACTTTATACAATGGTCAAGCACATTGAGAGGAAGTGCAGTGCATAAGAACCATAGCTCTGTGTTGACAAATTACAGAGTTATTGCCCTTTGTCACTTTTCCTTGTCCGGGGCATAACTTGAAAACTACTGTTTGGAATTCAATACAACTTCATACAGTTGTCAAGGACAATAAAAGGAAGTGCAGTGTACAAGAGCCTGAACTCCATTTTGACAAAATACAGAGTTACTGCCCTTTGATACTTTTCCATGTCCGGAGCATAACTTAAAACGTACTGGTTGGAATTCAAATCAACTTCATTATGGTCAAGCACAATAAGAGGAAGTGCAGTGCACAATAACTATAACTCCATCTTCAGTATTTATAGAGTTATTGCCCTTTGTTTCTTTTCCTTGTCTTTCTGGACTTATTACAGAGTAATTCAATAAAACTTCATTAATGGCCAACCACATTGAAAGGAAATGCAACATACAAGAACTACAACTACCTTTAATTGCCCACAACCATAACTCTATATTTCAATTCTTTTACAAGGTATTCTGTTACTAGTAACATCCTCATTTCTGAAGCAGTCTTTAGGGGTATTAATCACATTTAGTGATAGTTCTAGTTAATAAAATTGATGCACCATTGTTCTTTAATTAATTAATTCTAACTACAGTTCAATAAATGTTTCACAACTAAATAATCAACTCTTCGGCTCTTTAAAACTGCTACATTAATGTGTTTGCTTTAAATCATTTCACAATATTTTCCATTCACTGCTAAATTTGGCTGATATCTTAATACAAGAATTACAAGGTCATAAAAACAAGAAATCCCACCCTAAGAAATACCATGCCAACGCTGTCACCAACTGGTTTTCTTTTCTTCTTGCAGTATTGATGCACAATTGAGTATAATAACAATTGAGTCACAGCAAGTACCAATTCTCCCAAGAGGAACTGTAAGGTGGTGGTTGAGCAGAAAGAAGAAATAAAGCTGGCTTTTTATACCATAAAAAATATCTAAAAGAGCCAGGAACTAAGATTGGATTATAATAACAAATCTGTACATAGTCGCAAAGTAAGTATTGAAAATTATATAGTATTTTCATATAATTGGTGAAGGCAATTATTAAAGATACATTGTAGGGGTTTTTTTTTTTTGGGGGGGGGGGGGTGCTTATTCTATGGCTGGTATTAGGTCATATTGATAATCCCAATCCAGAGGAAAAAAATCCTATTTGAAAGTTACAAAATTAAATTATTGAATAAAAAAATGTAAGATAGACAATAATTGAAATACACATTGTTAAGAATTAAGAATGTATTTTTGCTTGAAAGGTTCAAATGTACCCAAATACTTAGTATCTATAGTATATAATTGAAATGTAAGATTAATAAACTGAATGGACTCAATACAAGCATCACTGTAGAACAACTTGAATTTCACGCACTAATTGAAGATGGAAATTTGTAGCAACAAAATCATTGAGTCTACGCTTCTCAAGTAGGTCAAGTCACACTTTGGGAATGATTCAGTGACTACCAAAACCTGTTGTCTGGCAGACTAGTAACAGTCCAAACATGCAACGTGAGGATTCCAGATATATGTTGAAGAACAAATATTTTTTCTAGTGATGTATGCAATGTCTGGAGTAAAGTGCTAAAAATTCAAGTGTTTGTAATTGGGCCACTTGTCCTTTAATAATCATAGCAATGCCCCTGGGAAGTCAATTATGATAACACAATACATCAAAAATGTTCTAGGTCACATCATTTCTGTCTGTTGGGAAGGTGAAACAAACATAATTTTATTTTTGGTCCCATTTTCATTGCATTTATTAGTCAAATTTTTGTCAAGATTTGAAAAAAAATCTAATTATAGCTTAATTAGGTTTCTAGGTCAGATTGGAAAATATAGGACCATTTTTGTCATCTTGTATAAGAGAAAATGATATGTATCCAAGTTGTATATAAGTAAGACAGATATTTCAATACGTATAGCCAGGATTTAGGGGTGAGGATCAAGGGTTTTAAGTGACGATCTTATCCGATCGAGATTCAGTTCTTGCAATTCACAAATCGAACTATGAATCTTGTTATCAAGACACCCATAAAAACATAAACAGTAGTTCTGAAAACATGTTTATTTTTCTGTAAACAATACTAAACATTAATTTCATTAAAAGTTGAAAACAAGTCACGCCAATATGAAATTCCTCAAGCAAAAATTTCCTTCCAATGTGAGGAAAATACTTTGGTATTTCAATTAAAAATGAGGGAAAAGCAGTTTGTAAACTGAATTATAAGGGTGGTACAACAAACTTGTCTTATCACGTTTCGAAACATAGGTGGTGGAATGTTATTTTGGCGCAACTCCTTTTCAGCCATTGTTGCAGAGACAGAATGTGTGACATAACACTCATGTATTAAATAAAACGGTCTTCGATACATGTCAGTGATGTAGCGCTCATATAAATCTATACATTATAGTGACTAAAATAATTTGTTAATTTTCATGTACAGAAAACATAGTGTTCAATGGAGATAAAATGATTCCTTTTTCGAAACCAATGACTTCATAGCTCAGTATCAGTGTATATGTTTGTTTACTTACTGTCTTTATTCAGCAAATTTTATTTAAGTAAACGTCACATAATTCATGCTCAATTTTGATGCCACCACAGCATCTGCGATGCGGTGGCATATAGCAATTCATCTGTGTGTGTGTGTTTGTTTGTGTGTATGTTATAAAGGTTATATAGTGAACTTGAAAAATCTTGTAAAAAAAACACTTGTCCAATTTCAACCAAACTTGGCAGGGTTGATCCTTTGGTGAAAGGCTTCCAAAGTTGTTCAAAGATTTTCATTCAACCAAAAGGAATTATAAGAAAAAATTGAAAAAATCTTCTTGTAAAGACCCAAAAGACCTAGAGCTAAGATATTTTGCATAAGGCATTGTCTGGTAGACTTCTACCATGATTGTTCAAATAACAGCCCTGGGGTCAAAATTGGCCCCGCCCAGGGGCGGGGGGGGAGGGGCATTGATTTTCACTATATGTATATATAGTAAAAACTAAATGAACTATTTGTCTGAAGGTACAAGGCACAGAGCTTTGATGTTTGCTATATAATATCATCTATAGGTCTTCTACCAAAGTTTTTCAAACTTTTTCCCTGGTGTCAAAATTTGCCCTGCCCGAGGGCATTGATTCTCATTCCAGGGTTCCCACGGTCAGGGAAAAGTCAGGGAAAAATGAGTTTTTTTTAAGGTCAGGGAAAAGTCAGGGAATTTTGAAATTGGTCAGGGAAATTTGAAAAATAAGCAAAAGTCAGGGAATTTTGTAGAAAATAATGTTTGTCAAACAGCAACAAGCAAAATCAGTAAAAGCTAAGGCAGTTTCTTCCATTATTTTGGGTATCTTTATTGTTATTTTTGATTATGAGCATCTGTTTTATTTTTATATTCTGATTATGCTTCTGCCTGAAGATTTTGTCATTAACAGTAACTATCTTTTTAAGAAAGAAGCTAAAAGGAGTTTAAGCATCCCTTGCCTCCTGGGCTGTTTATGGTTTGTTCTTGTGAAAGAGGCTGATAATCTGCTCAAGAGGCTGGAAAAAGATGAAAATGGACTTGCTTGTGAAGTCAAATGCCAAGTGCAATGCCTTCAGGGTCAAGGTCAAAGAAAAGTAATAAAAGAATCCAGTAAAAAGATATTGAGAAACTTGAGAAAACACTAAGTGGACTTCAATTAAGTACCAATCATTTTAGTGCCATGTTGTGTTTTTGCACACATGCATTAAACCATAACTTTGAGATACTAACTGCCATAGCTAGTTTATTAGTAGTATTATTAGCTTTTACTGCATTTTGCTTTTTCTGTAGCCACTTCATTACCTGTCTTATTGTTTCTTGTTTAACACCAGTTTCTATTGATTACTATCATATATTTTATTAAAATGCAGGCCTGTTTTAGTCAATCCTCCATTGATAACACTGCTTTGTATTTTTAAGAGAATGAAACATCTTTTAGCATGACATGTACTATCAAATACTTTACATTTAGGATAAATGTACTCATACTTGTTGAAAGTAAACAAGTAGCTTATGACAATTGCTCGCTAATATTCATGTATTTTTTATCTTGAATAATTTAAAATAAAGAACTGGAGAAAATAGGTTGGCTGTTTGGGGAGGAGGAGGTCGAAATACATGTATAAAAAAATACATTAAATGCTCTAAGATTGTGCAAACTTTACGCTGTTATTGGTCAGGGAAAAATGGTTTTGGTCAGGGAAAAGTTATGGAAAAGTCAGGGAATTTTGATTTCTCTTCTTTGTGGGAACCCTGCATTCTGTACACAACTTAAATGTTTTTTATCATAGATATTTGACATGAAACATTGTTTGGTGGACCTGTATCTAGATAGATTTAAATTATACCCTTGGGTCAAAATTTTGCCTTTCTCAAGGGGACAGTGACCTACTTTCTTGTCCTTTGATGTACTGCAATGAAATTTTGACCATGTGCACAATTTTAGTTGTAAAATTGAACTTTGATATCAGGTGACCTAGATTTTGATGTTGTGACCTACTTTCTTGTCCTTTAATGTGCAGCTATGAAATTTGAACAATGTGCACAGATTAAGATGTAAAGTGAACTTTGATAGCAGCTGGCATAGATTTTGACAACGTGTCTTACTGTGTTGTCCTTTGATGCACAGTCATGGAATTTTGGCCATTGTGAAATATGACCTCCACCACCAAATTCACTAGACTCAACTGCATTGGTAGATTCCTACTCTGATCTTTACCTTTTAACCACTAATCTGATAGTAAGAATTAGATAGGACAGTGATGTATTCAGATTGTATAGAAACAAAAAAAAAATCCGTTCCTACATTACTATTTAGTGTTTTATTATTGCGGTGGCATAGTGTTTTTAGCTCACCTGTCACAAAGTGACAGGGTGAGCTTTTGTGATCGCTTTTCTTCCGTCATCCGTCCGTAAACTTTTACTTTAAATGACATCTCCTCATAAACCACTAAGCCAATTTCATCCAAACTTCACAGGATTGTCCTATTGGTGGTCACCTTTAAAAATTGTTCAAAGAATTCCATGCAGAACTCTGGTTGCCATGGCAACCGATAGAAAAAACTTAAACTATCTTAATTTAAAAAAGTCAAAGAGGTTAAGCTTAGATATTTGGCATGAAACATCTTCTAGTGAGTGTCTATCAAGTTTGTTCAAATAAAAGCCCTGGGGTCAAAATTGGCCCGGCCCCAGGGGGTCATTGATTTTCCCTAAAAACTTTTTAAAAAAAACTTCTTTTAAAAAACCTAAAAAGCTAGAGCTAAGATATTTATTATGAAACATGTTCAAATGGGTGTCTACTAAATTTGTTCAAATAAGAGCCCTGGGGTCAAAATTGGCCTTACCCCAATTACTCATTGATTTTCCTTATACATGTATGTGTATAGCAAAGACTTAAAAATCTTCATTGAAAAAAAACCAAATAGCTAGTGTTTAGATACTCTAATGCATGAAACATCTTCAAGTGAGTGTCTACAAAGTTTGTTCAAATAAAAGACCTGGGGTCAAAATTGGCCCTGCCCCGGGGGTCATTGATTTTATTTATGTTTATAGTAAATAACTTAAAAAAGCTTCTTTGAAGAAACCCAAATGGCTATAGTTAAGATATAAAATATGAAACATCTTCTAGTGAGTGTCTACAAAGTTTGTTCAAATAAAAACCCTGGGATCAAAATTGGCCCTGCCCCGAGGGACATTGATTTTCCTTACATGTGTATAGCAAAAACTTAAAAATCTTCATTGAAAAAACCCAAACAACTAGAGTTTAAATATTAAGCATGAAACATCTTCTAGTGACTGTATACAAATTTTGTTCTTATAAAAGCCCTGTGGTCAAAATTGGCCCCGTCCCAGGGGTGTCATTGCTTTTAATTATATGTGTATAGTAAAAACTTAAAAAAACTTCTTTTAAAAAACTCAACGAGCTAGACCTTAGATGTTTAGCATGAAGCATCTTCTAATGGGTGTCTACCAAGTTTGTTCAAATA